AAAAAAAAAAAAAAAAAAAAAAAAAGAAAAAAGAAAAAAAAAGTTGTTCAAAGCCAGGTACACAGATCTGATGAGCATGTTCAATACTTTTTGTGTGTGCTTCTCCGTATGATGCTTTTGCAAATTGATTAACAAAATTATGCAAGGGAAAACAAACAATTTACATTTCTTCCTATTTTAACTTTTTTCTTAATCTGTAAATGGAGTTACAGGAAAAAGAAGCGCAATGCCTAAAATTTGACCACTTTAACAAAAGAAAATATTAAAAAATAAATTTTAGACAAAATCCATGCGACTCAAACAAAGCATAAAGGTAAATCCTAGTCGGAAGGCATCTAAGTACCTGGTTACACTTTGTGTCAAACGAAGCAATTACAAAGGCATCCTATTGTACTTATGAAACAAGATAAGAGGTAATTAAATCATGGAAAGTTAAAGAAACGTCAACTATACCTGGGAATCGCGCATTTTGGTCTTTAATATTTGAATTTCATGATTAACCTCCGCTTTCCTCTGAAAACATTTAATCTGGTCCACTTCATGTGACTGCAGTAATCAATGGGGCAACCATGAAACTCTTTAAAGAAGATTTTATGCAAGTACTCCACAATAAAAGAAAAAACCTTTTTTTATATACCTTATGCAGAGGATGAGCATATAATTTCCGCTCAAGTTCCTCAATCTGCTTCACCAACTCAACAATTTCTGGATCTTCAATACTCATGTCCTGAGAACGAGCCAAAAGAACATTGAATTGCCAGTACAGTTTTTCTCTCGAATATGTCTTTAAGTACACATAATGCATAAAATTTATAAAGAAAAAGAAAAGAGGACTACAAGTTCAATTGACATGCAAAGAAAACTCAATTACTTATTTCTAAAATTATTAAAAGGGTGACAAAGTTTTATGTTTGTCTTTAAATAGGACACTGTTTCTGTATGCTACTTAAAAAATTAAATGGAAAGAAAAAAAGCCCTTAAGTTGATCAGCTGGCACTGAGGATTCATTCTAGATGCAAACTGGTTGCTTCGTTTGATTATTCTTCAATAATTAATATGCATCCCCTAAATTAAAACAGAGCATAATCCTGTATCTTAACTAATCTGCTTCATTGGCAAAAACAAAAAAGGAAGTCATGATGCAGAGACGTCGCCAATTAATCTCAAGTATGCAATGAGGTAGAAAACTTGAAGTATTGAAAAGATATGCTTCTCTTCGTTCAAAGAGTTCTTCCTCCCCCTATGGTTGTTACTTCCAATAAGATTTTTTGTAATCCTTTGGAGGATTTGTAATTTTCATTATACTGAACAAAACTCTTGTTCCTCATCAAAAACATATATAGAGAAACGAGTTTATACTGTAAAAAGTCTTGATTCGTTAACACTTTCATGAAAGATATAACATACAATTATTCAAATATAAGTAAGCAGCTAATTTTTACCTTAACTGGATTCAATTTTGGAAAACCCTGTGGAAAACGAGTTCCCAGTTCTTCCAATGCAAGCAGTATGCTTTCCCTTGCTTCCACGGGTCTGAGATCAGAAGGAATAGAGATTCTGAGTTTGCTCAAGGCTGAAATAAGAGGCAGCTGAACTGGAACCTGAAAACATAATAACAACGATGACATCTTACATTTTAAATGGACCACTATCACACCAAAATAATAAGATCAAAAAAGGATTTACAAAATTAAAATCAAGATATAAGAAGCCCCAGCTTAAACATGAAAAACTAACCACGTGCATTTCACCCTTTTCTCCAGGACGGGGTGGACAAGGTTTTGGTCGTGAACTATTCTCGCTTAGACAAGGAGAGCATTGGAGTAAGGTATCCACTATATAAGCACCACCACGTGAAGGCAAGATGCCTAACCCAGCTGAGGGCTTTTTAACAACGTTAACTACAACTCCCCAACCCCAGTCTGTCCCCCCTTCTCTTACCTTAACCTGCAATTCAGAATAACCAATCTAACCAAGTTGCCAAGTACGGGTAACAGTGGCATCAAATGAAATAGATTAAAAACGCAAAAGTAATATCAAAAGATTTTAGCATGCATAATTATTTTCTATTAAATCTTAAACAAAAAAAGGTTGTTCATTTTCACTAACAATCAAATACATTCATTTAAAAGATGATAAAATAGATTGGTATTAGACACATATAATTCTTTTTTTTTTTTCTTAAGAGAATCCATGTACTCAGACCCTGGAGACATTAAGGGTTTTTCATATTATGCTTACATGAAAATTCAAATATGCGACCTCTGGTAGGTGGTACTTAGAGACCATTCACCAAGGGGTGCTATAAAAATTTATGCTTGAAAATCAAATTTTGCATACAAAATAGTTCTTCAATCATTTGCCTCATCTTTACTGATTTGGATTGTGAAGCGGACATTAGGTTTAGGCAAGATGGCTTATCAACACCTCTTATAAATGAATTTCCTACACCCCGAGTACATACCAACCGACCAGGAAGAAGAAAATAGAGAACTCTTTCCGGCCTTGTTATTTCAGACATCATCTTCTTCTCAAGTTGTGCTATATCAAGCTTTAACTTGTGGTATTCAGCAACTTCAGCCTAAATGGATAAAGCATAATAGTTAAAATTCTAGTAAACGATCAAAATATTAACAACTACATAAAAATAAATAGGACAAAACTTGCCTCTCCTGAAGCATCAAGTGTGGCAGCTTCCTCCTCTAACTTCGACACTCTTTTCCCAATATCAGGCAATGCCTAAAAATGAGATTATTAGGAAGTACTTTTTCAATATCCCATTATGCTAATTCAAATAGAAAGGATTTAACCACAACCTTCTCGTGCTGAAACTGATGAAATGAGTGTCTAATAACATGCTCAGCTGTAAATTGGCCTTCAGCCCGGCTCATTAAATTTAAAATTGAGTAGTAGCTCAGTCTAAAAGTACTAACAAGAGGAGCGGGTTTGCCCAAAATCATATCTTTAATTGTTCCCATCTCCACCTGGAAAAAAGTAAAGCAGTCAATGCTTTATTTTCTAGTAAGAAAACGTCTTTCATTAAGAAGAACTAGTGAACAAAAGACGAGGCTGCACTAAAAACAGCACTCGACCGACACAAGGGCCACTGAGGGCCACTGATTAACAAAAAAAATGATAACAATGAGTTCCACGCCTCTATACACTCTCTTGTTCCTCTCCCCCAAAGACCACAAAGAAAATAACAACTGTCAGCGACCTACCAAAAAAAAAAGCTTTTTACAAAAAAACTCAAGGTCTGAAGGTCTAAATTAAATGGTACCAGATCAGTGAAGTATAATCACGAGACCACAATACTACTCCTTTCTAAAGGATGCACCACCGCAGATCAATCAGCAAGGATGCCTTCCCATAATTTGATCCATGGTTCTTATAAAAAAAAAAATAATAATAATTTGATCCATGGTGTTAACTCTATGATGAAGAACTTCTCAGATAAAAAATATAACGTTCTTGGGAATTTTTAATCTTCCACAACAAGGAAATAATAGAAACGTAGGACGAGGAAGGGTTAACCAAACAAAAAAGGATATGCAAGTGTAACCCTGAGAAGGATTAGTAATCCAAGAACAAAGATATGTCCTCCCTAAAAAAATAAAAAAGATCTCCAAATAAAGATAAAAACATCATAATATCTCAAGTTTCCTTATCAAATAATGGCCGAAAAACCCCAAGGTCAAGAGAGGAGGAAAAGTCCCTCGAGGAGGAAAGAATAGAAGCCACTGAATGAAACCTCATGGAAGACAAATGGTATAAATAAGAGAATAGAGAGCAAAGGGGCTATCACCCAACCAGATGTCCTCCCAAAAGTAAGCATTCACCTCATCCGCCACCACATATTGAACATAGGTAAAAAAAACAAACGAAAACACTTAGAAATAGCTTTCCTCAAGTGTCGGGAAGTGCCCTCCGAATCCCCACTTGAGATCCACTCAAAAGGGTGCAGATTAATATTGCTCATAAAAACCTTGTGCTAAAGGGAATTAGGTTCTTGGGAGAAACGTCAAAGCCACTTAGCCAAAAAGGCTTCATTCACACCCTATGATTACCAATGTCTAACCCCCGAGCTCCACACACTTCATCATCACACTCCAATTCAAAAGTGGCCCTTTACCTTCTCCAAGCCCCTCCCAAAGAAAGTCTCTCATGCTTTTCTCCAGAGATTTCCTAACTGACACTAGGATACTCGATAAGGAGAGGAAATATTTCTAGATTTTGCTAATGAACAAAATCTTTGGTAAGTCTTCCTCCTTTTGTTCTCCTTCAAAATCAATTAGAACCGATCAATATTGGTTTCATTTCTTCTACATTTCACTGTCTCAATGAAATGGCTTCATATCAAAAAGATTTGTTTGCGTGAACCAAATTAGTCACAACATGAAACCGTGCAAGAATGAATCCAACAAAACCTAGAATTGATTGAACTCCAATGTTTTGGGCAATGAAAAAGATGGTAATAAATGGAAGTTAGACCCCTTAGGTCTTTACTAAGGTAAGTCTACTTTTCTGAAGCTATCCAAATCAAGAGATTGATTTACCCACGAATGGCTTTGATATTGAAGTTCAACTACTGATGAAGGTTAAAGTTTTTCAATGGCATACAGAATATTAAATAATCAAGAAAAAAAGGCAGAAGAAGCTCGCAAACTGGGCAGTTTCCCCTTCAATATGCTGTCTTTGTGTGCATAAAGATGATTTTCATTGGACCACGTTTTCAAACTTCGCGCAACAACAAAACCAGTGTGATATGAATCCTTTACAGACAGAGCAAATTGCTAATGTGTAGGGACTAACAAAAGTACAATTCGATAGAATGATTGATAAACTGGCAATGGAAGACATAACTGAAATCCGATCCAAGGTGTTAACCCGTCCATGCAAACCCTGTCCCACAAAGAACTTCACATCCATTGGAGTTTTTATCTTCCACGCTGAGGTGAAGATATATGCATTAGTAGGGGAGGAATTGGTCAAGCAATTGAAGAAAGAATGAGAAGATCTTTTGCAAGGGCTGGGAGACTAAAGGCGAATATCCACCATGTCAAGCCTAAAGTGAAAATCACCCAACAAAGATAAGAGAGCCAAGACACCCGTTTCCCGATTGGTAAAGGAGAAGATTTAGATAGTGGCTTTAAACAAGGATATGAAGTAGGTAGGTATGCAACTTAAAGCTTGACTGAATGAGGGCAAGTCTTTCCACTACTGAGAAGTTTTTTTCCAAAAGGCAAGACTCTTGCGAATCTTACCAATAACCAAGTCCCAAAACAAGATGCTCCTTGGGTCCAAAGGGAAAACTAAGATAGGCGGAGTGCAAAGCACCCACCTCAGTCCCCACCCAGGATGCCCATCTACTAAGCTTGAATGAGTCACAATCTCAAACGTTTGACACTTGCCTCTATTAATCCTTAGGCCTGAGATGACTTCAAAAAACACTAAAATTTGATTTAGATTAACAAAGGAATCCATTATTTCAAAACAAAAAAGATTGTGTCATCGGCAAACCGAAGGTGGTAAAGGCTTGTCTTATTCTTCCCAACCAGAAAACCCTTCAAAATAGTGCCCTCTGCCCCTTTTACAATCAAACTTGAGACTCTAGAGTGGGACATAAAATAAGTAGGGAGAAAAGAAACAACTTTTCCAAGAAGGGAACCTCACACAATTCTCTAGGAGAATGTCCAAGGAGAAGACCCAAAGTAGGAGGACAAAAAAATCCCTACCATGCGCCCAAATAAGTGAATTCAATCCCTACTAAGAATGGGTTCAATTAAGAAAATAAAATCCTAAACAACGAACACATCATTTATTTTGTCCACTCTCACTTTTGTCCTTTTTCTTTTGTAGACTTTTACAACTAGGGTTCAACCCCAACCCCTAAAGTGTTCTTCATTTCATTTTGAGAATATATATTTCCCTGTTATTTGAAAAAATGGAGCCAACAATATCAAAATAGTGAATACAAAAAAAAAAAAAAAAATCTAACAGCATCAATCAAATTAAGTAATCAAAAAATAAGAATAAACTTCAACATTAGAAAGAAATGAGTAGAAATTCACATCACATCAAGATTATGACTAGCAGCAGTATTACCTGCTCATCAATCATTATAATGCATATACCCCTGTCATCTTTTCCACGACGTCCAGCCCTTCCACTCATCTGCATGCAAAATTTGCAGAAGTCAAATTTTTCTCCACTAAGATAAAAGTGTGTACTAAAATTTAAAATAAACGATAAAATAATAAATAAATAAATAAAAAATTATGGGCACAAATAGGGCCTTCACTCACCTGAATGTACTCACCAGATCCAATAAATCGGTGACTATCACCATCCCACTTTTTAAAGGCAGTGAAGACAACTGTTTTTGCTGGCATGTTCAAACCCATGGCAAACTGTCACAAAGAAAAGAAGAACCAGCACTACTGATCAGCACAGAAGCTCAAAAGGCAAGATCTCAATTGGCAATAAAAAGCATCTAAAACAAGCACAAACAATCAGGTGATGGGTAGGTATCTTACAGTTTCTGTGGCAAAAAGGGCCTTAACAAGACCTTCCTGGAAAAGGAGCTCTACTAATTCTTTAATTACAGGAAGAAGCCCAGAATGATGAACAGCAATTCCTCTCTGGAGAAGAGGTAACATTAGCTCAATTGCAGGTAGCTCTCTGTCTTCCTCATTCAAGCAGAGAATCGCATTTCTGAAAACATGTTCCACCGTGTCCTTTTCTTCATCAGTGTTAAAGTCAAGTTTGGACATGGACATTGCATGTTGTTCACATTCTCTTCTACTGAAACTGAAGACAATAACTGGTTGGAAATTCCGTTCCATAATCATCTGATACAAGAAAGCACACCATTTAAAGCACAAAACATTATCTAAAAGAAAAATTCTCAATAAGAAAAATAGCCAAGTCCTTGCCAATAGAGATTATGAGAAGTTCTTCAAGCATGCTAAAATTGTGTGATACTAGAATCATAGTAAGGAGAAATAATGATTAAATGAGAGGTATAACATAGGGAGAACCTTAACTAGGGAAGTTAAAAATGGTCTTCCAGCTCATTAAGAAGAAGAGACCGATTAATTACTAGGTGGACTTTTGCATCGAGTGGCTGCAACAAAAATAAGCTTCTTCCCAAAAAGGAAAAGAAAAATCTCTTTACTTCAAATCACTCTACTATTTCTTTTCTAAGGATGACAAAAATCTTAAATGAAGTGAGCCACAATATCTTGACTTTCTTTTTGAATGGATACCCCTCCAAAATGAGAGTGTGCGCCCTAGATGTTGTTAGACAGAGTGGACCAACTGAAGGTTCCAAAGAGAGCTTCCCGAAAGTTCCCTTGTCAAGGCAAGAGTATAGGAACAAGGGAGGTTGGCGTAGATGATGGGTGGGCTGATGAAAGGGAGAATAGAGAGACACCATGGAGATTTCGCCCCAAAGAAGTTGCACTTTTTTAGATCAAAAGTTTAGGTCTCGTTTGACAGTTTTTAGTTTTGGGTTTTTGCAAATTGTGTTGGTTTCTTATGACTTCTTTTCCATTGTTTTCATCTTTCTTAACTAAACATTTGAATTTTTAGTCAAATTCCAAAGGACCTAAGTTTTTAAAAACTACTAGGTTTAGTTTTCAAAAAATACTCCTAAAAAGTAAATAACAAAACAAAGAAACTAATAGGTAAAAGTATTGTTTATGAGCTTGGTTATCAAACGGAGCATTAGTGATTGTTCTATTCCTTGCTTTATATTGGTATAAACACATCCCTTCATTTATCAATAGTAGTGTAAACTCTCTTTTATCCAACTAGAGAAGTTTTTTGCAACTTCCTTTTGATGGAATTTCTCCCTTTTGTAAATTGCATATTATCAATGAAATTTTTGTAACTCGTTTGTCTATAAAGCCAAACAAATGTACACAAACCCAATCTTTTCATAATCTAGTAAATCGTATGTTTTTTTTTTTTTTTTTGAAATCAGCCTCTTAGTTTTAGGGAAACTTGAGGACTTCTTAAGTAATTATAGCATCACGGATACTTGTACCGTATAGAAGGCTTTTCTACAACTTTCATTAGTTCGGTTGTGGCTTTCCTCTTTTCTCTATTTAACAATTTTTATTCTCGTTTCTTATCACAAGAACATGGAAAAGAAAACGAAATAAAAGACATTAAACAAAAACAGAACAAAAGATGATGAACAAACCTTAACAATTTTATAAATGTCCGAACCTCCGGAACCACTGCCACCTTTAGCTATTCTCCCACTAGATTTCCCATTTAAAGTCCTGTGGCCAGCAATCTGTTTTTGTTTAGCAAATGTGTCCAGCAGCTTCATAAAATTATCCTCCCTGAACTGTTCGTCTTCATCAACCACGAGATACAACCCATTGCCACCCACGGGAAAAACATAATGTTGCAAGGGAGTTGGTCGAAAATCAGTGTACACCACATGACAAGGCTGCTTGTGTATATTACATATCCACTCAGCAAACTCCGTGGCATTGGACATTGTTGCAGAAAGGAAGACCATTTTGATAGCCGGTGGTAAAAATATTATACTCTCTTCCCAAACAACACCTCTTTCCCGATCTCTCATATAGTGAATTTCATCAAAAATTACCCATGCTACTTCCTTCAAAACTTCCGAACCCCTGTAAAGCATCCCCCTAAGTATCTCCGTCGTCATAACTAAACAACTAGCATTAGGCGAAAGAGTCACATCCCCAGTCATCAGTCCCACGTCTTTAAACTCTTGACTCAATTCCCTATACTTCTGATTACTCAAAGCCTTGAGTGGAGAAGTATATATAACCCTCTGCTTATCTCTAAAAGCCATAGCAATGGCATATTCAGCAACCGCAGTTTTTCCAGCTGAAGTATGAGCAGAAACCAAAATAGATTCATTCCGTTCTAAGCAAGAAACCGATACCTGCTGAAACGGGTCGAGTGTAAACGGGTACGTTTTCGCCATTGTACCATTGAAAACCGGATTCGATAGGGTTCCATGAAGCGACTCGTCCTTGGTAGAAGTGTACCCAGCCGGGACCGCAACTTCATGAACACAAGTCCGCGTCAAACTGCGTCGGTTGGAGACAGTTTCCTGAGTCGGAGTTGCCTTCACATCTTCTAGGTTTTTCGATTCTTTAGGTCGCTTATTGGAGTTCGTTTCTTGGTTGTTGCCAGTTTCTACGACAGCTGATTCTTCTTCAAGTTCTTTCCGCTTTCCAAGTGTGGGAGATTCTTCCATTGTAAAACGATTAGAGCAACTGCAATTTCCTTTAATCGCAAGTGGAAACGGGGAAGAGGAGTGTTGTTAACAGACAAATACGAGGGAAAAAGGTGAAGAAGAGAGAGTAGATTGCTTGGAAGTGACGAGTGTGAGCAGAAGGTGAATGAAACGAAGAAGAAGGCCGAAAATGAAGTGATTCTGAGCAACAGCAGCGGCGGCGGAAGAGAATAGCCGGCGACGGTTCAAACTGCAGAAGTGTTTTTGACATTTTGGGATATTTGGCTAACTTATTTAAAATAGGTTTAGGGATTTGAAGAAAATTGGAAAGTTTACACCGTAGGTTAACCTACCCCGAACCTCTTCTAGTTAACCCATATATCATCGAAAAATATTTTTTAATTTTAATTTTTAAAAATTTTAAAATAACTTTTTTTATTCACTAAATCTCAAAATATTACATTTTTTATTTTATTCTTTGAATATTTGAATTTTTATGTAAATTTAAATAAATTCTTACCCTATTAAAATTTATACGCGAATTTTTATTTATTTATTTCGGTAAAAAAATAGGATATTTTTAAATTTGAGAGTTTTAAGTTGTGTTTTTCTTTAGAGATAGAAAGTGTTTTTATCAATGTTGATAAAAAAAAATTAAAATTTTTAAGTTGGAAAATCATAGTAATATTAATGTAAAAATGCAATTTTTAGTCCAATTCTAAATATTTAATTTCAGCTTCCCCCTTAAATTTAATATTTTAAAAACATATATTATATAGTGCATTTTTTTATATAAAAATTATTTTTTATTATTTAACCAATTTTTTTTATAAAAAAAAAAAAAAAAAACCTTTGAAATACTAATTTTAAAAATAAAATGAACTGAAATTTGAGACGAGTTTCTGCCTCATACAGCTCGAGCTGAAGACCGAGAAAAGTTTAGGAGAGATGGACCCTACAATCCGTCCAGTCGAATTTTTTAAGAATTTTTTAAGAGTGGTCGATGTCTGCTAAGTTCCTCCTTGAGAACTGAGCCGCCTGAATGAAAAATACATATAACCCATATTCTCATTAGACTGGGAAAGAAAATCTGCACATCTTTTCTATTTTACATGCAAAACTAAGGATACAAAGTTTCATACGTTTGCTACCTAAACTGCATCATCACAATAATATAACAATATGGCGTGGCAAATGATATCAACCTCGGTGACAACAATGGCGACGATATCATAAACTATAATCACATTGGCAAATAATATCGACACGACAACTCGAAACCTGGATGAAGCTTCACTTTTCTCTCCACTTCAACGTCTTCTCAACTCTGTTTTTGAAGTTGTCTAAGCTTAGAAGTCCAAGAAAATTTAACCAGACAATGGCTAAAGCCCATTGCTGAGTGTTGGGGCTGGCTATATATATCTCCGCCATTGCTGGGAAATCATAGCCTTGCTGAGCTATGAACCAACTTTGAGCTAAAAATTATAAGAATCAGCTACCAAAAGAAGGGAATGTTAGCATTTAGGTAGTGTGTTTATTAAGCATTTCCACCATCTGAGCTACTGCAGGCTTGGTTCAGTAGGACACCGTTCCCGAAATCGCCATCCAAGCTCATTTGTTGGACTTCCTGTGGGGAGAGGATCTTGATGCTCCGTACGCAGTTCACGAAGTCCCTGAAGTTTTGAATGAACTCGAGTAAGGATAACGACTGCGAGAGATGTTTGTATAAAAGAAGTAAATGAAATACTTACTCCCACGGGTCGTCGCCTACAAGTAAAACGTCGTTTTCATGATCGACGTAAACGAGTTTCCAGCCTATTTTTTGCCTGTCCTCTAATTGTCCCTCGATGCCGAACCGACGGGCAAGGTCTTGTTTAAGCTCGTCGTAACCTGTGTAACTGGTGATATCAATTGATCTCCCAACAGCTCCACGTTTGTAAACCTTCAAGAATTGGAAACAAGCAAGTTGAAGAACATGAAGAACCAAAAGAAAAGAGAAATGTAGGAATACTTGGAATACTTGGTCAACATTTTACGCGTAATATCATACCTTCGTGTAGGTTCGCATACGCTGGAACGGAGGCGGAGGAGCCCATTGGTTTCGATTCAAGAACGCGTTATCGTTCATCGCTGAATCCATAGAATTAAACGTCATGTCTGGAATACCGAATGACTGGGAAACTATAGAGGAAGAAATTTCCTGTTGAGGATCTTTCTGTGCATCATACGTGGTGAGCATAGCCCCAGAAGAAAAGTTATTGGAGAAGTCCTTCCCTAACTCTCCAATGCCTTTGTTTAACAAAGGATCGGAGTTTAACTGCGTTACCAATGGTCCATCGACATTCGTCCCATACGGAATGTTATGGAGATCGGTTGGTACTTCCAAATCCTGAGTACTATCTCTAAACAACATTGGCTGTGAGTTGAAAGACATCACGTTATTCTGCTGCAACTGAGCCTCGTTCTGTGAAAGGCAAGCCGAGGTCGTTGAGGAAGACGTGTCCAAGAAATCGGTCTGCGAAACGACGCCACTCAAGAACGTTTGTTGTGCGAAAATCGCATGGCTTTGATTCTTGGAAATATTCAGTGAAGGTTTAACAGCAGTCAAGGTATTTGTACTGAATATTGTAGCAGAAGATTGAGCAACATCCTCAACCAATCCCGTGCTTCGATGAACCCTTCCATTGTTTACTGGCTGAATCAAACTCGGGCCGTTGTTCGTGGACGGTGACGTGGAGCAAGATGGTATGTCATCAGTGATTCCAGATTGGCCAGCCGCTGCTGCTCCGGTTATTACGCTGCTAGTAGCTGCAGAGAGCTGATTGTATGTTTGAGTAGGAGGGAGTCCTACTGGTCTAGACATATCAGAAAGTACAGTAGATGGAGGTGGTTGATGTAGTTGTGGAAGTTTCGGTTGCAAATGCTGATTTGAGAAACGATTATTTGTCGTGCCATTGCTCTTCGCTGCCTGCTGTGGTGACACGTTTGATGGAGGGACTGCAGCTGGGGTGGATTGAGGAATGTCGAGCATTTGGTTAGACGACATGGACCGGGAAAACGACGCATCCACCGACTGTCTCAACTGTTCCGGTAGTTGAGAAGGCTGAAGAACAACAGACTGCTGAGCCAAAAGTGATTGCTGCTGCTGCTGCTGAAGCTTCTGCAACATCTGCATCGGAACCTGATTATCCGACATTTGCAAATGATGGATCATCGGTTCCGGGAGCGAGGACTGATTCATAGTCTGTGGTTGATTCTGAGGGAGGCTTCTCTGAAGCTGCTGGTTTTGCTGCAGTACGATCCCATTAGTGTGAGGTTGCTGCTGCTGCATTATTTGAGCTTGAATCTGACTCGAGACCGCGTTTTGGTTAATCAAATTCGGACGGGTCTGCTGAGACATATCATCCAACTGCTGAGATGGCTGCACAACAGACCCCAATGAGTTCATACTTGACGGTAGTTTAGGTAGCTGATCCAACTGCTGAGCTTGAGAAAGAAGCCTTTGTGCATTGAACTGTATGTTGTTTGATTGAGGAATTTGTGTGTTCGACAAGCCAAGTTGTCGAGAAATATCGACTCCGCCAAGGTTCGGAAGCATAGACCCCGAAAATGAATGCATGTAACTTGGCTGCATTGCATTAGAAAGTGAAGGGTTTTGCATATTCATCCATTGAACTAAGTTTAGGCCTGGATATCCCTGTGGATCTTTCATGCAAAAATCGTCCCCAAACATTGTTCTTTTACATATACCATCTAAATCGGAGGAGTCATCATCTGCAAGTGAAAATACAAGTACATTACATTCCCTCTCCAACATTAACTAATTCAAATCCAGCAAGTATTCATTGCAAGAGAAAACACAAGAACTGAGTTTCAGAAAGGTTGAATCTATTAGCCGATGTGGGACTCCTCTCCTAACAATCATCAACAATCCTCCCCTTGAACAAATTACACCATAGAGCCTCCCTTGAGGCCTATGGAGCCCTCGAACAGCCTTCCCTTAATCGAGGCTCGACTTCTTCTCTAGAGCCCTCGAACAAAGTACACCCTTTGTTGTACTTTGTTCGACACTTGAGTCACTTTTGACTACACCTTCGAGGCTCACAATTTTTTTGTTCGACATTTGAGGATTCTATTGACATGGCTAAATTAAGGGCATGGCTTTGGTACCATGTTAGGAACCACGAACCTCCACAATGATTTGATATTGTCAACTTTGAGTATAAGCTCTCATGACTTTGCTTTTGGTCTCCTCAGAAGGCATCATACCAATGGAGATGTATTCCTTACTTATAAACCCATGATCAAACCCTTAATTAGTCGATGTGGGACTCCTCTCCCAACAATCCTCAACATATACATATAGACACAACTCAAGGCGTGACTTAAGAATTGAAAATAACTCTAATTATTGTACCTGGCATTCCTGGTTGCCTCGGACGTTTTGATCTCAAAAAAGGAGGGGGGCAAATGAAAAATGGAGCAATAACTGGCTCGATCTCCCATATCGAGACTCGATTTCGTCGTTCTCCTCCAGTTGACTCGTCCCACCCGACCTAATAATGGATGCACTATGCTTTAGTAACATCCCAAACTATAGCTAGCCAAAAACAATTTTTCAACTACAAAAATATCGGGGGAACGATCCCACTACCGAACCTGTAGATTACGCCATTGTGAGCCCTTCCATCTGACAGAATCAAGATCACTTATACCTGTGATAGTACCCATATACCTGCAAAAAACAAAGGAGATTTTTTCAGAACTGAAACATATTTTGAGAAACAAAATCACTGGATTTACCTTCTAGTTCCAGACTCTTCTGTCTCAAACATCATTCTGAAGCGCATACCGAGTGATATTTGGTTAGCAGACACTGCCTTGTAATATTTGGCAAGAGGAACAACAAATTCTGAAGGACTTGCCCTTTAATTCATAAAGAACCACCAACAAAAGGTTTATCTTTGCACTTATTGTTGTTTACAAATTAGGAAAAACAGAGGTTAAGAAGTAACTGACACGAACCTCGGGTTGTAGAAGACGGTGAAAGGGCTATTGTTTGCAGCAGCATGGGCAGCTGCTGCAAGAATACCAATATGCATACTATCAGTTGACAACACTGATGATGATAAGTTGGTTGGTTGCCTGTTTGCTCGCCTGATGCCCAATAGAAGCTGTTGCTTTTCATCTCTGCTTAAAGACAAGTGAATAAAAAGAATAGGTCAGGTTTTCTGATACCACATTTGCTTCACTATTAAACAAGCATGGAGGTTCGTTTTCTCGTTTGATCGGCTTAATCGATCAAACCGCCAAATAACTACACATGTTAACGACCAGTTTATACCAAGACATGGCTCATCACCTTATGAACAAAACTGAATCACCAGCAAGAAGTCTCTTTCCACTAACAAACAAGCTCCAACCAGTTGTTAGTAAATGGCGTTTTGGTTGTCCTGCATTGAGAAAAACAAAAACAAAAATGCAAACTAGTGGTTAGAGAGCGATTCTTGATGTAAAGAGCTCAAGTCCACCGCTAGCAGATATTGTCTTGTTAGGAATTTTCCTTTCGGGCTTCCCCTCAAGGTTTTTATAACGCGTTTGTTAGGGAGAGGTTTCCACACCCTTGTAGAGAATGTTTCGTTCCCCTCTCCAACCAATGTGGGATCTCACAATTCAGCCCCCTTCGAGGCCCAGAGTCCTCACTGACACTCGTTCCCCTCTCCAATCGATATGGGACCCCCCTTTCCACCCCTCTTTGAGGTCCAGCATTCTTGCTGGCACATCGCTCGGTGTATGGCTCTAATACCTTTTGTAACAACCCAAGCCCACCGCTAGCAGATATTGCCCTCTTTGGGTTTTCCCTTTCGGACTTCCCCTCAAGGTTTTCATAACGCGTTTACTAGGGAGAGGTTTCCATACCCTTATAAAGAATGTTTCGTTCCCCTCTCCAACCGACGTGGGATCTCACACTTGAACACTTTCACATAACAAGCCCGAACACATATTTCCAACTGACTAGCAATAGTTACATACCTCGATATATGTGACGGAAAGTCCATACATTATCATGCAAATCCTTAGCAACAAGCTCTTGTGCAGGTGGTTGCATAGAGAAATCCTAGCAAGCAAGCAGAAGAACATCACATTTGGAAATTGACACAGAAGTAGATAAACAACATGGTGAGAATAAGCAAAATTAGCTCACAAGAGGGGGGAAGATCTTCTCTGCAGCACGGCGTGGCACGGAGAACCCGCCATGAGTGCTCGTGTCACTTGCAGTCAACGTTTTACAGAAGAACTCTGGCTGAGGCTTATTAGATTTCAGAGCTAGATCTGATCTCAACAATGCATCCTTGTCAAACTGCATAGTAAAATGAAATCTTTAGTTATTTACTTCTTCTATATCAAATGAAGCCTGTCTTTCATCCTGTAAGAAACATGAGTAAGGAACTTACAGAAGGAACCGGTAATAGTGTCATTTGTGCATATACTTCATCCGTTTCCGGGTCGGCCTACAAATATTTTCAAACGTTACAATATTATCCTTAAGCTTTTATAAATATTCCATCGGAGTAGAAAATTCTAAAGAACTTCTACTAGATTAAGAGTAATATCGCAACTTTTGTAAGAATAACGACATTTCTAAAACAAAGCAGAACGAACCATACATGTAATGTTACATTATGAAGCAAACATAGTAACTTGGAAGGAAGATTTGGGTAGTTTGGGACTTGGCCATCCACATCTTTCTTCAAGGATGCTGCAACCTGAAATTAAAATTTTAACTTATTAAAGAAAGAAAAAAAAAAGATTTCTATTTAAAAAAAAAAAAAAAAAAAAAAAAAAAAAAAAAAAAAAAAAAA